TCCAGGATGTTTTAGTGGCCGAAAGACTAGTGAGAAGGTAGAAAAAGTAGTTTTATTCAAAGCATCAAAGGTGAGTAATATCTTTGAAAAATATGTGTTATAAACAAATAATTTATAACTAATAGCCCAAAGATTTAAAAATATGTCATAATTTCATGTATCTTGTGAAATATTGGCGGTGTCCATAGTAATGTAAGTATTTAAACGCGTTCACTAACGCATAGTGGCGCGCTCTATTGGCGAATGTTTGGTCCCCTAGATCGTGACCATTAATTTAACATGACGTTCGGACTCCTTTTATCTATACTTCGTGCTATTTTCCGTCAGTTTAGCTTAAAATTTAATTCGAATATGTGCTTACCAGCGGCATCTATTGTACAACAGACTGTCCGTCGTCTCTCCGTGGCCTTCAGTCGCCACGCGACGATGCCCAACAACAAAAACAAACAAGCGTCTCACATTTCTAGTACCTAGCAAACCATTGCATAAAGAGAAATAAATATCGCCTACTATTAAACCGATTTATAGGCAGTAGGGCCTAGCGAATTGAAGATTATTAATCCACGGCCAATTCCCTATTAGAAGAGATGTTATGACCCCATAACAACAATTAGATTATAATTAGTATTATAACATAGTATAAGCTAAGTAAAGTTAAGTGAACACTTACTGTACGCTATACCCTCACAATATCGCCAAAACGATATTTTTACTAAACCATTGCAAGTCAATGCAAGTATTTGTCAAGCCTGATGTGGATAGCTATTTCGACCATTAGAGGTCTCATCAGCACACCTACTGTATAAGTATATAATTATGAGGTTATCATTAGTATATCTTATCTTGTAACTTTAGTTTAGTTTGTACACTTAACTCAGGGTCCAATCCTAACGAGCGCCCTTTGCGCATGCTCAAAGTGCAATAACTTAAGCTACTATAAGAACCACCCCAACTGTTATTCTAAGTTAGTTGCCAGTTACCAACGACCAGCCGCCGAGCTACGACTGTCAATAAACGCAATAAACACTTTAAAATATTACTCGCACCCTGTCGAGATCTTCAAACCCTCGCACAACCCTAGCCGTCCAGGCAAACCGTTTTGGTACACCGGAAGCCGCGCGGTGCCGTTTCCAAGTGCCAAAACACAACTCTGGTGCCAGAAATCCATTCTTTGGGTCTCTGCACCATAACAGAGATAATAAAATCAAATTCTAAAATTAATTATAACGAAAAGCATAAAATGAAAATACTCTAGGAATGTTAATACAAATAATAATAAAATGGACTTTTGGCAGTTAGATGATAATAATTTAATGAATATGAATAACAGTAAAATCGGCAAAAATATCAAAATTACACAAAATAAAGTCAGTAAAATCTTCGAACAACTCCTGCACACCCGACGTCTAAAACTTCTAAATGATAACTGTTTTAAAAAGAGCGTCAGTCGTCTTTATAGCCCTAATGCACTTGAAGTGTGCTCTTTCGTCCGAAAGGCTCTCGAATATTAGCCGTTCGATCCTACATAACTCGGCCATCCTGGAGGCGTTCGTCCTCGAACATTACTCGTCTTTGTCGTCTCTAGTGGTCCGAGGTGGTCAACGTGTAAAGTCTTATGCGGCATATCTTCTTTTGACGATTGGTTTAAACATCCTTCTTTCTTTCTCATCTTTCTGTTTAATAAAATGCATTTATCGCAGCAATTTATAACTCTTTCTAGCTTTTTCTCCAAGCGTTTAATAAAAAATTCTTCCTCGATTACCTCTTTACATTTAGTTACCCCAAAATGTCCTCTTTCATGAATCATCTTAATTATTTCTGTTTCCATTTTTCGGGAACAACTAACAGCTCTCTTCCATTCTTTGTCTCCATCGGCTGGTAATCTTCACTCATATTTCGAACAACTTCTTTCATCTTCACATCTTTTGTCTCTGGCAATATCTCATCTTGTTCCTCTGCTTCGATCGACACAGTTGGCAATGCATCGTCGTCTAACGTGTCGAACGTTATCTTTCCTCGTTTAATCGTCTAGTTTACGTCGTTAAGAAACTCTCGCCCTAATATAACGTCAAAGTTCTTTTCGTTTGCAACGTAGAATTTACTTGTTTCCATCTATCGTCATCGGTAACGTGATATGACCATCTGGTTTTGTCATCCATCCTCCAAAACCTAATAAAATCTTTGTAGTCCCGTTCAGTTTCGGACTACCTACCTGCTTGTAAATTCTTGACGTCATAATGTTGACTGCGGCGCCTGTGTCAATCGACGCTTCGCACTTAATTTCACCAATCTTTACTTCTTGTACAAACTGCTCAGCATCGCACAAAATAGTTTGGACCTCCACAACTTGACAATCTTTCGCTTTGTGCCCAAACACATCACACTTAAAGCACTTTGGATCTTTGTGCTTACATCTTGCTGAAATGTGTCCAACTTCTCCACAGTTGTAGCATGCGTTCTTAATCGTCTTATCTTCCGTCGTATTTATCGTCGTACGTCTGTTTTCTGTCTTTAAGGGCTGTTTTGTCTCTTCCGTCTTAATGCATAGTTTCTCATATATTTTGAGTCGATCTTTGAACTCCTTAAATTTCTTGCAGCCGTACAGAAGTGTTAGGTGTGGCCCGTCTGGCATTCCTCAATCACATACTGCATAACCGACTGCTTATGTAGGTTACCCTTATACCCCATTTCTTTCATAACAATCAAATACTCTTGGACTGATTCCCTTGGAGTATTTTACGGCTCATCATCTTCTTGTGAACATCTGCACCACTTAACTGGTAGCCAAATTCATCTTTTAATGCGTCTTTTAAATACCGCCAACTGTTTAGTCCAATTTCGCTCTGGACAAACTTCTTAGCCAGGCCTTTCAAACATTTTTGCAAAAATCAGCTTTTGTAAAGCCTTGAGGTTTAACATGTCCGCAATTTCTTCGTACTCTTCGGTCCATGTCTCAATACCATATGCGTCTTCGCCCGTAAACGGTCTAACCATATCCTCAAAATCTCGAAAGGATAAAGTAAACTTTGAATTCGATGTGGATCCTCGTGGTTCGAATTCATCGTCGTCCTCGTATCCTCTTCTCAACTTCTTCTTCTCCTCGCAGACTTTGGTGCTGCACTTTACGTCTTTGGCTTCTTCTTGATAGATCGTCGTCTTTAATTTTGGCACGGCTATCCAAATTTTTCGATCACAAGAACGAAGCATTTTTCGTCTTAAATGTTGTAAAGTCACGTCGTCATCAGCATCTTCATCGTCGTCGTTCTCGGCTTCGTCGTTGTCGTCTTTCTCGTCGTCGTCGTCGTCGTCTTCTTCATCGCCGTCGTTGTCGTCTTCCTCGTCGTTTGAGTCATCTTCGGGTAGCTGGTACATCTTCAAGTTGTTCAAGTCTCTGAGCACTTCACACACGCGATCACACATCTCGTCTTTGTTTCCACTGTCGTCAATGTCTAACATGTTGCACGCGGTTGTTAACTTCTTTACTGAGAATTTCTCGTAAATTCTCCTTCGTAATTGTTCATACTCTTCTGAGTTTTGGTGAAACCGAAACCCGAAAAGTGCGTACAAATTTACGATTCATTCGCGGCGCAACAACATCAAATATTACTTCATGCATCAATCTCAGTGAACTCGCGGGTGCATTATCAATCTGTTTCGCGGCACTCGGATTGTCGTGTAAACAGTTGATCTCCATCTTTTCCTCACTTTTTGCTCACGGCTGCAACTTTATCTTCTTTACGTCTTACGTCACTGTTAATCGTCGTTATCGTCTATGTACACTCAGACAGAAAGTCTTTCGGTTGAACCTTCAGATTTTGCAGAAAGTCCTTAGGTTGCACCTTCAGATTTCGTAGTAAGTCCTTCGGTTGTACCTCCAGATTTCGTGGTAAGTCCTTAGGTTGAGCCTCCAGATTTTGTAGCAAGTCCTTAGGTTGAGCCCCCAGATTTTGTAGGAATGGTAATACAAATAATAATAAAATGGACTTTTGGCAGTTAGATGATAATAATTTAATGAATATGAATGTGAATAACAGTAAAATCGGCAAAAATATTAAAATTACACAAAATAAAGTCAGTTAAATCTTCGAACAACTCCCGCACACCCGACGTCTAAAACTTCTAAATGATAACTGTTTTAAAAAGAGCGTCAGTCGTCTTTATAGCCCTAATGCACTTGAAGTGTGCTCTTTCGTCTGAAACGCTCTCAAATATTAGCCGTTCGATCCTACAATACATTCTCATTATAATACAATATAACTTTCATAAACATTTTTTAGTTATTCGACAAGCCCAAAATTACATATTTCCGCGCCTTGCTCTACTAGGAAAAAAGTCGCGGGCTAATGACACGCCGACGATAGGAACATCTTACTTTATCTTATCATAAGCCATCACGTCGCGTGCATGCTTTGTTTTGACGGTGGACTGTAGTTTCGCACTTGTTGTGGTTTATAGATGTTTCTCCGTGTTCGTATGATTCTTCAGCATTTTTCCTGCTGCGAAAAATATGTAAAGTTTATTGTCGCAAGGTTTTTTTGAAAGCTAGATTTTCCTTTGGAAACACCCTGTATATTAGTTTTTCTTGATTAATTGCTATCTTCTAGTGTTTATGTTAATTTTTATATTTTGGTACTCGTCTGTATGTATGCGGTTATGTAAGACGTAAGACTTGTTTCAAAATTGCGGACAGAATTTCGGCGCTGTGCCCTTGGGCCATGTGATTGTAAGCTTGCCATATTTCTGACATTCTGATTCCGACTCTAGGTACCTGCCGTAGTGCCTTGGGGCACTTCCAAAGGGTTAGACTCTTAAACTTTAAAGGATTGAAAGAGCATGCATCGTATGGATGTAAATTATTTATTTTCCATGGACATTGTTTTAATTCACTTTAGAAAACTATCAATACGTTTATATACATGTTCTTTCAAAGAATATCATTTATATGTACAAACGTAGAGTCTCATGGCATATAAAATTACGAATCCTGGCAAAATTATAGGTAACTTTCATGTAGATTACTGAGGAGAAGAATCACTTGCAGCAACAATTCCTTCCTCGGCCGCCAACGGCACTCGACACCTACAGCAAGTACATTGCAAACAGAAAAAATCATAAGTAACATCTACCACAACCACAAAGCAATAATGCAACATCTTAAGACAATAAATATAAAATGAAACACTTATAAAGTTGATAACAAAGCCGCAAACCAGGAATGAGACAATCTCCCCATTTAAATATTGCACATAAAACTTATTCATCTATGTACATATGAATAACGACAACAATGTTAACATCCATTCACTTGTTAATTGAGCATTTGTGGTAAGTTTTGAGAATGAAAATGCAAAATTAAAATCAAACTTAAATATAGATACAACGGCTGATTCCATTAATACCTTAGTGTTATTTTTGCTGACTATAAAATTATGTAAAACCGTTTTTCTGTTCAATGCAAGATTAATGCCCACGTAGGAATGTACGGTTAAACAAATTATAAAACACACAGAAAACCAGTAACGCTAGTTATCTTGTTTTTCTCACGCCTGGCAAAGTCTTATCTAAGTTAAACTAGTTATTGTGATGAGTGTGATTGGTTATGCACAGATAATGCAACATTAAAGCTTTGATTTTGTCCGGTCGTCGCCATAAGTCCTAAAACAAAAACGCACAAAAATTAACATCCCACAAAACACTTCATTGGTAACAAAATCAAAGTGGTTAATTTATTCACAATAAATGATCACTGAAAGAAATATTTTTTATAACCTGATTAGTTTATAATATAAATATTAAAGGAAGGATATGTATTTCGGAATGTATCTGGAAAAAACAAGGATGAGTGTTAAACAAAACTAGCATTCTTTCAATCAAATGGTCTATTTCGCAATACCTGCTATGTAAGACCCAAATACATGCAAAATCATGATTCATCGAAAATACAATAACAGTTAAAAATTACCTAAACATCATAAAAATAACAAAACTAAAATACTTGTCAAATATAAACATTATAGATGCAATCTTTCTAGGTTTAGAATCAAAAATGATTGTACAGTTTAACCAGCCATGCAAATCAAAACTAACAGGCAAATAAAAATCGAAAATAGTTATCAATAACTAAACAAAAAGCAAAAAAAAAAACTGAATCATATGAACAAATATGTAATAGTAGGTGCACTCGATAAACTCTCATTTCAATATCAACAAATTTGTACTTACATGTGCTCAGGATGATTATTCAAACAACTGATGAGTTGTTCCGGCTGCTTCAGCCCCACGCAAATTTCGTGAATTGCAGTAAACAACGGAAACCTTAAAAAAATAAGAGTCTTACAGTGTTTTCTTAAATTATATAAAACTTACTTCTCTTCCATATTGCGTGATTTCAACATGTAGTTGACCTCCTCGGCAGTGATAGGTCCTTGCAATTTCTGTCCATTTAGAATCTCCTCCTCAAGAATTGCAATGGACTTCTTGGTACGTACGTGGGCCTCAGCTACCTTACGATTACGTCCTCCGTAGCATGTCGTGATCAAATCAGCGACACCACAACTCTCGAAGAAAGTCGACAACTTACTACCCGGATAGAAGATGTCGACAAATTTAATCATCTCCATGAGACCAAGTCGGATAACTGCTGCTTTCGTATTGTCACCGAGACCCAATCCATCCACAAAACCAGCTCCAACGGCCACAATATTCTGAAATTATTAACGCAAATGAAATAATCACATAATCACGTCCAAGTTAATTGACTCATTCATTGTAGTACCTTTAATGCGCCACAAATTTCAACTGCGTCCTCATCATCCACAACAACTACCCGGAAGTAGTCGGTTTGAATAATATCCCGCAGAATTGGCGCGAGATGCGAGTCGCGGCAACCGATGGTTGTTTCGCAGAATTTTTCTTCTGCTACCTCGCCGGCAAGATTGGCACCCATCAAAACAGCGCATTGGATTTTCAGTGTTCGTGTTATGATATGCGAAATGAGATCAATTCCACCTCCTTCTCTTTGATCAAAGCCCTAAAAATCGAAATTAATTAATTATTCAAATCAAACAATAAATTAAATAAAACTTACTTTAATTAATGATAAACCAATAGCAGTTGGTTTAATATTCCTAACAATGTGGCACACAACGTCCGGATAAATTGATGTGGCACGACGAAAATTAAAATATCAGCTTCTTTGGCAGCTTCAGTAACGTCGGAACGGCGACCTAGGTGCATAACAAACAACAAATAACGTTTTAATTATATCCTACTACAGTGCAATGATCAACAATGCAAGGTCATCCATGTTCAATGTTCAATGAACAAACAGATGAGTTATAAATACACCTGAATAAAATGCAAGTCATTTGAAAATGTTCTGAGGGAAATGATTCTTATTTATTCAATCTACATACCACATTCTCGGGTAGTTTATGTCCTGGCAAATACTTGACGTTCTCATGCGTTTCATTGATGATTTCCGTGAGTTTTTTCCCATTAATCATCTCTTCATAAACGTACATAGTGACGCGATCTTCGAGGTGAGGGAGACGAGCGGCATTTTTACCCACAATTTTAGCGATTGCAGATCCCCTAATTAACAAATAAGATTTATAAAATTAACAAAGTCGCAGACATAAATTTAAACATTTTTGATTTGCAAAGAATTCATGACTACCCCAATCAAATAAAAATATATAACAATTAATAAAATATACGTAATAATTCGAGTAGACTAATAAATTTAAACAGAAAGCATAAACGTGTTCATTTCAATGAAAAAACTCGGTTTTTTTACGCGGTTTCGATAATAATTGAGGTTATACAAACGTCATGTTTGTTTGCAAACAGCTTGTTTTTATGAATTTCGCAGAAAATTAAATCAAAGCGTTACCAATTGCCGCTGCCAATGATGCACACTTGCTTCTTCTTGATTTTCGACATGATTTATGCGATAATCAGTGCTTGAAAGAAGATAAAAACTAAAAATTTTAGCGCGGAACGTGTACGACCGTGCGCCAACAACGAACGGGCGCGACTGACGCGAAACGAATAGAAACTCAAGCGAAGCACAACTGAAACTTGATCAACTCGGTAATAAATAAAGTTACACGCTGGAATGTCGTGTGTTGGAAACGAATGGAAGTGTGGGATATTTGAAGGCAATGATTGCAGTATGTTATCTATAATACATGCGCACCTACGACCTAGGTACAGGTTTTATTAATCGAGAAATGCGTTCGAGTTTGACCAGTTGAACTTGCGATTCGGTTCGAAATTTGCGAAAAGGTCATTTCACAGTCACCCCAATGACCTGAAACGTAGTAAACATTCCAAATGGAACTGCTCTTGAACAGTGCACTCCTCAACTAGGAATGTGGTTTAGATCATTTAAAAGTTACTGATTTTTAAGTTTAACGGAAGGAATACTACTGAACTCTCAGTTACAGCATATAAACATAAGTTGTCAGCTAAGTAAATATTAGATAACGCAATACAAGCAAAAGATGAATTTGCATAACATAAAACTAACGCAAAACGAAGCAAAAACGTGGTTCAGTTGACGTTTATTTCGTTTTATTGCTGATATAATATGTATTATTACACTTTTTACGAGTTTACATAACGTCGCAAGTCAATAATACACGATATCGTTATCGTCAACGTGGAACATTTTATTTAATTTATTCATCATACAGCGCAGTCTCTCCTATACTTTCACTAATTTGATGTCTATTGATTTCTATATTCTTAACGTGTTCTACTCGTGCTATCGATAATTACTTGGGTTATTTACTCAATGTTTCTGAACTCAAAATATTGGTTTTATGTACACCAATACCATGTATTAATAGATTATGCTTTTTGTTATCAGCACAAACATGTTTTTGTTTAATTTGGCTGTACTTTGAAATATTAGCGTAATATTGTGACTTTAAATCACGAAATACTATTTTGTGGTAAATTATTATATAATTATGAAACCGGTTTGTGCTCGAATGTGAAGGAACTTGTTATTGTTTCATTTTTTTACATATTTAAAATACGCAAAACTTCGCAAGGGTTTCAATATAGGCAACCAACATTACACGCACTGAAAAACAAGAGTATAACACCATCTGCGCCTGACTAGCATTGGTAATATTTATCACTAAAAAATAAGCTCTAAAGAGGGCATCAGAGAGTGATCAGTGCTCGTGGCTAACCTTAGAATCCCGAAACATAGTTCCGAAGTTTCCTAATTCCCGAATGGTGCCGGGGTTTCCCATGTTTATTCCATTTCCCTGGCGCTCTCATTGCTTTCCTTCCTTCCCGCATGTTTTCCAATATGACTTGTAGGGTTTGCTCTCTCTGAAGTACGCCTTGTAATAGCAAATAATCAGCCATGGGAATCCCCCTAGTTTTAAACACGATTGTGTTGTAAAAATAGTACATATTGTACATATCCACCATATCAGTGGTCGAAGATGGATGTTCCCGAATCTTCCTCGCCAGAGCTTGTGCCACGAAACTATCAAGACGAATTGATCCGCATTTGTGTCAAGCAAAATTCAATCATCTTTTTACCGACTGGAGCCGGCAAAACATTCACCGCGCTCTGCGCAATTAAGCAACTGGTTGGCGACGATTTTGCAAGGTACTTGACTTACCATAAAAATTGCGCAATATAACATCATGTCATTTTATTTCATTAAATTAAGTAATGAATTAATAAGAATCAATTTAATACTGTGAATATTAATTAATTCTAATATTTTCGTACATAAATTTTAGAACTTATTCAGAGGGAGGTAAATTATGTGTTTTTCTGGTGAACACAGTTACCCTTGTGGCCCAGCACAAAAAATACATGGAACAAAATACTCCTTACACCATTGGTGCCTATACAGGAGACATGAATTTAGACTATTGGAGCAGGGAGCAATGGCTACATGAATATAACACTCATAATGTGATCATTATGACCAGCCAAATATTAAAAAACAGCCTAACTACTGGCTTTTTAGGTATGTTTATGAATATAATGATACATCATAACAGAAATAATTTAGTTTTATGCTTATGTATTTTTTTAGATTTAAACAAAGTAAATGTAATGATATTTGATGAATGCCACCATGGAGTAGATAATCATCCCATGAGAGACATCATGCTTTATTTCAAGAACTTAACAGATCCTCCCAGAGTCATTGGCCTGACTGCTACTCTGTTAAATGGCAATGTCAAGCCAAATATGGTTTTGGAGGAAGTACGAAAACTGGAGACAACTTTTCATGCAAAAGTTGCCTCGGTTGATGCACTTATTAATGTTGTAGGGTGAGAATTTATTGAAACCTTATTTTGAAACAGTATTATTCAATTTCATATCACTAGATATTCAACCAACCCAAAAGAAGAAATTATAGAATACAGATCACCATCCATCCATCCTGTTATTAAAGAAGCATGTGATAATTTAGCGGCATTGGAAGCAATAATTCGGCAGTTTAAAGCAAGCCCAGAGAAAGCAAAACCTATTAAAAATCTACAGTATTTAAAGAAAGAGAAACCCTATGAAAAATATTACAAGCTCCTAATGGATGCCCAGTTGCACTTCAAAATGTTTGGAATTGCCGGCACTAGGATCGCCTGCATTATGTACATGGTACACATGCAACTAGAAAAGCGAAGTTGCAGCGAAGCGAAAACATTGGCGGTTATAAATGCAATTATAGATATGTTCAATCAAACCAAGCGCAAGATGGACACAGTTTACCTAAGCAGTCCATCGGAGCAACGAACACTCTTACTGAGTACGAACAAAGTCCAGAAACTGATTCAGACACTCATGACTTTCAAGAATAAATCCAAGCAGGAATTGTGCGGAATTATATTCGTCCAGCGTAAAAATACGGCCATGTTGCTGTATCACATACTCAACGAAGTAAAAAAGACTTATGATGAGATGGACTTCATTAAACCTGATTTTATTATTGGGAACACAGCAAATCCGCTCAACTCCACAATTGAATCATTATATTACGCCAAGTTGAACAAGAAAGTTATGGATAGGTTCAATTCGAAAGAAGTGAACTTGTTAATTGCTTCTAATGTCATCGAGGAAGGGGTGGATGTGCAGATGTGTTCGATTGTGATCAAATTTGATATAGTTCAGGATTACAGGGCATATATTCAGTCGAAGGGTAGAGCTCGACACGCTGCTAGTTTGTACTATATTATGGTGGAGGCAACCGAAAGGGCACAATTTACAAATAAATATTTGACCTTCCAATCTATTGAAAGTGGCTTGAACAATGTGCGTATTAAAATATTTTATTGCATGTAATTATTACATTGGATGTTACAGTACCTGATTGGCTCCAATGATCATAGGAAAATGCCTGATCAAAGCCGAATTAATGCAATGTATGAAGAAAAGAAGATTTTTTATGTTGATGGACCTGGATCAGCGAATATTTCGGAATCAGTGGCGATGTCTCTCCTTATGATGTACTGCAATTCAACCAAAACTGATATGTACACCAAATATGAGCCCGTCTTTTATGTTGAAGGCAACATTGACAAATGTCGAGTGTACATTCAGATGCCCACGTTTTGCCCTCTGAAAGATTTGATACCAGTGCGTTTTTCTTTTATTTCAATGTATATTTATTATTAAATTACTATTCTCTATACAGGGTGAATGGAAAAGCTCTAAGAAAGAAGCTAAAAATTCCGCTGCGTATATGACGTGCATAAAACTTTATCAAGTTGGTGAGCTATCTGCCGAAATGCTTCCCGCCCCGGCGACATTAAGTAAAGAGAACCTGGGATTCCTTTTCACTCACTGGCCAGAGAATGGTAACAAACGCGATGGTGTTTCAAAGAAAACTCGATCATATATACGTCGAATTCCCAAGGTATTAAGTGCTCCAATTGAATCAGGAAAGAGAGTGTTTTTGCACATCATTAACATGACACCGCTGCTCGGTGCCGAACATGCAATTTTAAACAACTTGTACTCTAATGATCTATGCTTTGGTATTATCACAAGCGAAAAGTTGCCAAATCTGTGTGAATTTCCAACGTTTGTAACGCTGGGTCAAATATCCGTGAAACTTGACGTGAATCAGAACAATTTCGTATTCAGCGCCCAGCAAGTAAGCTTGATCAAACGTTTTCATCACGTTATTTTTGATGGTGTCCTGGACATTTTGTCAAGTAAGTCTTATTTAATGCTGGGTGACAATCGGCCTATGTACAGCTATATTGTACCCGTTCTAAAATCAACGAAATCCATTGACTTCAATATTATAATGGATCATGAGGATATAGTTGACGTGAGCAATGTGCTCACCAACGAAGAGAAACAAAGTTTAGTAGTCAACAACGAAACTTACTTGGAGAAGATCGTCACTCCTGATTACAGAGAAAGAAATCGGGTAGGCATACAAATAAATTATGATTCACTTCGATAGGTTAATAATTAAAACCATAAATTATTTTAGCATCATTTGGTAATGGAAGTTTGTGAATATATCACGGCAGCATCACCTTTTCCCAACAGTGAGTTCCAAAGTTACGCCGATTATTATGAGTGCAAGTATGACAGGGTGTTGGTAAATTGTAATTTACCTATGTTGTCCGTAAAACCGCTCTCCTCCAATATGAATTGTCACAAGCCTCGAGGCCTTGCAACAAAAAGGAAGCGTGAGGAAACATTTGAGATGTTTGTGCAGCATTTTAGTCCCGAGTTGTGCGTTAAGCAGACCTTACCGGCGCAGTTGTGGGTTTCGGCGACATTACTGCCATCAATCATGCATAGAATCCATCAATTGTTAATCGCTGATGAATTGAGGACCCTAATTGCAAAACAAGCAAATTTAGGTATGTTTACACCGTATATATCCCCTAAAATAGTTTTTAGAATATATTTTTTTCAGGTTCATGCACTGTAATGAATTGGGTGCCGCTCAAGGTGGATTCACGCGTAATAAATTACAAATCAAACGTCGCCGATGAAAGTTTACGTAAAAATGATTCCCTCTTCGATGAAAACATGCCCACCGAAATGAAAGCACAAGAAATTTCTGATATGATCACCAAGTTCACACCAGGTGATCATATTGTTGATGCCAGTATTAACAAGACTTTCAATGACGTAATGATAGACGCTCAGTATCCTTGGGAAGCAGAAGTTGAACCAATCGATTGTTACCGAAACCTGGACGTTACCCTCGGCGACATTGAATTATTTGCGAAGTTTATTAACACGCGTTATGAAACTGCTCCCAATGCTAACCCAACCCCAATGATTCAAAATAATGGTTGCCTTGCAATAAACTACACTCCACCGGAATATCAATACAAAACCATCGGATTATTATCAGAAAAATCTACCAATCACAAAGGTCCTGAATTATGTTCGGTATATGAAGCTTTAACAACAGCTAAAGCTCATGATATTGTGAATTTGGAAAGATTGGAAACCTTGGGAGACTCTTTTCTAAAGATGGCTGCGTCATTGTACGTCTTCAATAAATTCCCGCATTTTTCTGAAGGGCAAGCAACGGAATTGAAGGGTAAACTCGTTAGTAATCGGAATTTATTCTATTTGGCACAAAAACATGGCATTGGTGGACTGATCGTGAACAGTGAATTCAACCCGAAGGACGAATGGCTTCCACCTGGATACTGCACCCCAGTGGAAGTGCAAGAAATGATCCTTCGACAAGACGCATCTATCGCGTGTTTATTTGAGATTGATATTCCAAGGGATGAGCAAATTTCGGGTGAATTAAGTGATGCAACATTCGAACTCATCCAAGATCGCCGAGAGGATATCGAAGAGGATGAAACGCAGGACAATGGATATGCATCAATGTGTCATTACATTGGTAGACAGGTGATTGGTGATAAGACGCTGGCAGACGTAATTGAGTCTATTATTGGAATATATGTGGGCGCTATGGGTATAAACGGCGGGATGAAAATTCTTGAATGGTTGCGCATTATTCCCGAAGACGCGATTAAGGCTACATTCGGCGCGACTATACCGAATCCAATCATTAAAGAAAATTGTTCGCAGAGAGATATTACCGCACAACTGTCGAACTATGAAGCGAGCCAAGTGGAGAAGATTTTGGATTATAACTTTAGAAATCGCGCGTTTCTGCTACAAGCTTTAACGCATTCGTCATACAATGGTAATCACATTACGCAGTCATATCAGCGTTTGGAATTCATAGGCGATGCGGTTTTGGACCTTCTGATCACGCTTTTTATTTTTGAGAATAACACGCAGTTGAACCCGGGTGACTTGACTGATCTCAGATCTGCACTGGTGAATAATGAAACTTTTGCGGCGTATATCATTAAACTAGGCTTGCACAAATATCTGAAGCATTACAATACGAAACTGACGTCACTCATCGCCAAATTTGAGTCGTTCCAGAATATGAGGAAGAATGAAATTACGGGCGATGTGCTCTTACTTTTAGATGAAGATAATTTACACTTGGCGGAAAATGTGGATGTTCCAAAGGTGAAATACAGTTATACAAAAAGTTTTTATTTTATAATAAGTGTATTTTTATTAGGTATTGGGTGATTTATTTGAATCAATTATGGGTGCAATATTCCTCGATTCCGGCATGGATTTACTGACAGTTTGGCGTGTGATACACAAAATAATGTGGCGAGAATTCGACTCATTCTCAAAAGATATCCCGAAGAATCCGATACGCATGTTGCATGAAACTCTAGCACCGCTTCGACCAAAGTTCAGGTAAATTCATTATTCACTTAGCAAGTAATATAAATCTAATCATATTTTAATCCCTAGTGATCCTGTGGATGTGGACCAAGGAAGTAGGACAATGATCAAGTTAGATTTCAATCTGCAGGGCACGCTTACCCGTGTGCACGGTTTCGGAGATAACAAAACGAACGCAAAGAAAGCAGCGGCTAAAGTAGCGCTGCGTTTACTCAGCGTTAAAAAGAAGTAAAATGGTTTCGTAACATCGATAACATCAAAAATTCCATGGCGTTATACATTAATTTCATTAGATTTATGTACTATATTAAGTTTGCACGCGTCAAGTTCTATACGATTGTTATATTTTTCATGAATTATAATTTTAACTAACCTTCATTAGTCCGTTAGCTCGCTGAATTCTTGCGCTTTTTCGACGGTCGTTCGAATACCTGCCTGCTGCCACCAGCCTGAGACGAATGAAACTTGATGTTTTGCGGAGTTTCATTCGTCCATGGCGAATCAAACTGCGTCGTGTCTTGATCAACCAAATGTGTGTATTTCGTCCGGCCAGATCTGCCAAAGTTTTTCACCTGCATCACTTTCGGAAGGATGGTTTTGTCGAAATGATCGTCAAGCGTTGCTTGTGAAAAGTCACGTTTATAAACGTCGTCATCTTCGTTGAGGTAGAACGCGCCGCGGTGATAATATTTCTGTAGGAATTTGTATTTGCCTTTCACCGCTTTGTTGGTGACTTGTTTCGGATTCAAACGTAATTCCAATCTACGCTCTTCTTCGGTCATATTACGAAGTCTTTCCATGTCTAATTTTTCTTTCTCGACTCTGAAACATTAAATTTTGTCACAAATTCTTTAGGTTTTTTGAAGTTAAAAAAAAACTTACGCTTCACGTTCTTCTCGATCACGTTTAATCCGTTTTAATTCTCGAAGTTTCCACGCTTCGTACTCGATTTCATCATTATCATCATCAGTTGAAACATCGTCAATACTCGGCTCATGCGATTCTTTCTCTTTTAATTGCTGTTCCTTTCTGATGCTATCCTCCACCATCTTCACAGTTTGTCTCCGTCGATCGTCCGCTTGTTTCTGTGCTTCAAGTTCCAGTTGTTTTTCTTTCAACTCTTGCTTTTCTTTCTCAATAACAGTAATCCTGTCGCGCTTTCGAACAAACACAGGTTTCAATCTAGGGCCTGTTTCTTCCTCTGAATCAGTGTATTCTTCATATTCTGAACTATCTGAGGATTCTGTGCAAGACTTTTCCTCTTCCTTTGCCATAATTTCATGTTCTTCTTGTTTTATCAACATTTTCTTCTTTAAAAGTTCACGTTTACGCTCGATTTCACCATCGCTAAGCTCCGCTTCTGATTCATCATCATCAGGAGCTTCCAAAGTATGTTTTGGCTCTAGAATAATACATTGTACACACTGATTCTATGATTTAATTAAAGATATTAATTTACCTGGCAATTGAACACTTTCTGGTTCTTCCTCTTCACTCTCCTCAAGAACTTCTGGTTCCATAATATGCCGACGCCTTTCCGGACGTACTTCAGTATCTATCTCCCTGATTCTAAGCCTTCTCAATCTAGGATCGTTAAGGTCTTCATCATCACTGTATTCTGGTGCAGGTGATGGAGGCTGAATCTTAGCTTGATTTCTTTTCTCCAAAAAGTCGTCATTATCGGAATCCGAATCTGATCTGTAGTCTTGGGCATAATCAGGCCGTTTACCAGAAACATATCTATGCACTTTTACTTTTTGCATGGACATTTGTCCTAAAATTTTAGTTTATGAAATAAAATAGTAAAAATTAAATCAATTTGCTACAAACCTTTCTCATTTCGCACTGGAACGGCTCCAGCCGTACTCTGAATACCACTTGCCATTATTATAATGGTTTATTTAATAATTTTTACATAAATAATTACAAAATTTTAGAAGAGCTAATTTTTTACACAAATGTAGAACGTTTGTTTTCGTCTTGGGGTTATGTTCACAATTTTATGGACAGAGCATAGCGTCCTTGGTTTTAAAAGAGGTTAGACCGTCAATAACGACAAACAACGTTCTGGATGTAAAGAAAAATACTTATACCTAAAAGGATATAAATCTTCTTCCAGGGACTGTGGCGGATATAATTTATCAAGATGCCTCGTATTATGATAAAAGGCGGCGTTTGGCGCAACACAGAAGTAAGTTTATATTCACCTCAATAGTGTGCATTACACTTGATAGCAAATTAAATAAAATACTTACTTTTAAATGTAAAATATCATTTGTTCACTTTAGGATGAAATTCTCAAAGCGGCGGTTATGAAATATGGCAAAAATCAATGGTCGAGAATTGCATCTTTACTACATAGAAAGTCAGCAAAGCAGTGCAAGGCAAGATGGTTCAATGGCTTGACCCAAGCATCAAAAAGACTGAATGGAGCAGAGAGGAAGATGAAAAGCTGCTGCATTTGGCCAAGTTGATGCCCACTCAGTGGAGGACAATTGCACCAATTATTGGAAGGACTGCTGCTCAATGTTTGGAAAGATATGAATATCTACTGTAAGTAATTAAAACATTGTGAAATAAATGTGTTATGCACATATAATTAATTACAGGGATCAGGCTCAAAAAAAGGAAGAGGGTGAAGATGCAGCTGATGACCCTAGGAAGCTTAAACCTGGTGAAATTGATCCTAATCCTGAAACAAAGCCTGCCAGACCAGATCCAAAGGATATGGATGAAGATGGTAATATTTATATTTTACTTAAAATGCTTAACTGATTATTAATTTTGATGTGTTTATTAGAACTGGAGATGCTGTCAGAAGCTAGAGCAAGATTAGCCAATACTCAGGGCAAGAAAGCAAAACGCAAAGCTCGCGAGAAACAGCTCGAAGAAGCACGGCGTCTGGCTGCGTTACAGAAGCGCCGTGAATTGCGCGCGGCAGGCATTGAAGTTAATCCGCGACGTAAAAAGAAACGTGGTGTCGATTACAATTCGGAAATTCCTTTTGAAAAACGCCCTGCTATTGGTTTCTACGACACTTCCACTGAGCACATTGATCCAACCGCGCCGGATTTTCAAAAACTTCGTCAACAAAACCTGGATGGCGAGTTGCGATGCGAGGTTGAAGAACGCGAGCGCAAGAAGGACAAAGAGAAGCTCAAACAACGCAAGGAGAATGACATTCCGTTGGCTATGCTACAAAATGACGAACCAGCACGCAAACGTTCTAAACTAGTATTGCCATCTCCACAAATCTCCGATCAGGAGCTCCAACAAGTTGTAAAGCTTGGCCGTGCCAGCGAAGTTGCACGTGAAGTTGCTGCTGAAAGCGGTGTGGAAACCACGGACACTTTGCTCAATGATTACTCGATCACACCGCAGGTTGCGGCAACTCCGCGCACACCAGCTCCTCAAAGCGATCGCATTCTGCAGGAAGCCCAAAACATGATGGCGTTGACCCATGTTGACACGCCACTTAAAGGTGGTCTTAACACTCCACTTCATAATCCCGACTTTAGTGGAGTTATGCCGCAAAGTTTAGCTGTTGCTACCCAAACACAGTTATAACCACTCCGTTTAGAAGTACCAGGAGCGACGGTGGTGCGACTCCTAGTTCTACTTTTATGACACCAAAAGTGGTGCTGTTGTACCCGCTGGTCTTCAGAGTACTCCAACTCCTATAAGAGATAAGTTAAACATCAACACCGAAGATGCTATAGCTGAGGCCATGACACCAATGTCAGCTTCTTCCCAGAAGTCCTTCAAGGAGCAGCTCAGAATGGGTTTGTCCACTTTACCGCAACCTAAAAACGACTACGAAATTGTAGTTCCTGAACAAGAAGAGGAAAAGATCGAAGAGCCTCAACAAATGCAAGTCGAAGATCAAGCCGATGTAGATGAGAGACAACTGGAAGATGATCGTAAACGCGCTGCTGCTGAATTAGCCCTTAGATCACAGGTTATCCAACGTTCCTTCCCACGACCCAGCGAAGCTAATATGTCTATGTTGAGACCTGCAAACGAATCGCATTCTCTTTCCGAAATCCAGAAAGCTGAAGAACTGATTAAGAAAGAAATGATTACGATGTTACACTACGACCAGTTGAAAAATCCCGTGCCAACAACCGCAGCATCCAAGAAGAATAATCAAGCGCAAGCTCAACAACTTGCTTACTTAGAACAATATCCCTATGTGGATCTCCGTAAGGAAGAACTAGAGCAAGCTAAAATTGTACTGCAGCGCGAGATGGAAGTCGTGAAGCAAGGCATGAACCATGGAGATTTATCAATGGAAGCATACACGCAAGTGTGGGAAGAGTGTTTAAGCCAAGTTTTATTCCTACCCAATCAAAATCGTTACACGCGTGCAAATTTAGCTTCAAAAAAAGATCGCTTGGAGTCGGCTGAGAAACGATTGGAAATCAATCGCAATCACATGAGTCGCGAAGCCAAACGCGCTGCTAAGATGGAAAAGAAACTGCGGATTCTCACAGGCGGGTATCAGACTCGTGCGCAGACGCTGATCAAACAATTATGCGAGTTGTACGAGCAGGCGGATCAATCTACGTTGGAGTTGAATACGTTTAGGTTTTTACAGGAACAGGAGAAGCAGGCACTGCCGAGGAGAGTGGATACACTTACGGAGGACGTGAATCGCCAGATTGAGAGGGAGCGGGCGCTGCAGGAAAAATATGGTGCTTTGCAAGAGGCGGTGAGAGAAGTGCAACTGAAGTATCAGTAGCTTAGCAATTTCGCAATTCTTTGTCAAACATTTATATTAAACGATCTTTCAACGACTTTTTTGTTGTGAAAATAAAGTAATAACAGCATTTATAGGGTTGGCTGTTAGTTTGCAGTTGCAGCGTTTACGTAACAAACTTGGAAATCTTTTATGATCGACAAAAATTCCTCGTTTTTCAAAGTGGCATAGATTGCTTTTTCGGCTTCATGGACGGCTTTCTGTAAATTTCTGCGTGTATCACTCACTGCCCTCTTAAGTTTCTGCAAACCTTGGCGGTTGGATTTGGTAGACTTTGCATTATCTTGGACAGCATCAATGATGTTTCCTTCATTTTCATGCAATTTGTTAATGTGTGTTATGACTTCAGGCGTATTCTTGATTTCGCTAACAATATTGCGTTCTGTTTGTTCCTCCAAAGTCATTTCACGTGAGTCTATTAAGCTTTGAACCTCATTCGCCTTGTTGCACTCTGCAGGTCCGTCGTTCATACCTTGGATAACCAGCACATCGTTGGCTTGCTGAGCTTTCACACTTTCTCTGAACCTCGATTGTATCTCCTTAAGTTGCTCGTCGAGCCTGTCGCCTTCTTCAGATGCGATTTTGAGCAGTTTTTCGAATGTATTGGCAAGTCTAATATCTTCATCTCTGCCAGGACGTCCTGGATGACCCTCACAACCAGGACGGGGACCATGGTGGTGTCCACCTGGACGACCTGGGCGATCACCGGAAACAGCGACTGCCACACAGGCAAGTACCGTAATAACAAATAGTTTCATTTTGACAAAGTACTAGATGTAGATATTCTATAGTTTCACACTTTTATAGTTTCGAATATTATCAGTTGCGGCGTGATTTTACATTCCACGTCATGTGAAGCACTTAAAATGTGCATTTTGATCATGTAGTTGCCTCGAATAAGATTATTATAACAGGAAAATTCCCAAAAATAGGAAATATAGCATGATTGTCTGGTTAAATAGAATCTAAAAATATTCATATAAATCGCGTTTGGTTTATGTTAAAAAGCAAAATTATTATGTACATAGATAAGTTTAGTTGTTCTTCTTTTTTGTATATGTTTACTGCACGTGGAGGTTTTGCTCGATATGCATCTTATAATTATTTATATTTTATTATAACAGTGACTTTAACGAGCCTTCTTATAAATATGCCACATTCTTGTTCCTCACTTCACAGCTTTGCGTACAACAAGCCATGTAACTATTGCGAGCGTCTACCCTTACCACAACTCGCGGGTTAGTCGTTTTTGTGTCGTCCAAGAGTCCAGTCACAAGTGCCTAGGTTTCCCTCTTTACGTGATCGCGTTCAATCACGTCGATGTCGTAATTAGTTGTTTTTACTTTTATATTGTGTAGAATACAAGGAAATTTTTAGATATTAAAATAATTAATACAATAAAATAATTAATTTTGCAAGAAATTTATTGGTGCATCATCTTTTATACATTTTTGATAAACGTGCAATCAGAACGCATTTTATATGCCTAAAGTTATTTCAATGCAGGATCTAAAGAGTGTTTACAGAATGAAACGTGCATCTATTGATTATTTGCACAGGTCAAGAATTCCCTGACCAATGTCATCAAAGAATCATCAGTCAAATCTGAATTGAGGGTGGTCACAGCGTTGCGGATAGCTCTCTGCCTGTTCCTGCGAGTTTCGTTCATTGGCCTCTTAAGGCTGGACAAAACTCTTCCATTGGTGGTGCATGGTTCTCCACAGTTTGCAATTGCGTCCCTGACGTCTTGTTCGTTGGTTGCGATTTGGTCATACAGTTCAGAAATTTCAGACTTTGCCTTAAGCTCAGCAACAATGTCGCGTTCGGCTTGTGCAGTTAGTGCTTCTTGGCGGGTAGCAACAACGGCATTTACCTCATCGATCTTATTGCATTCAGCGGGTCCTTGTTCCATGGCGTTGATGAGACGGGTGGATGATGCATTCAACAACTTCTGTTGCAGTTCTACGCGTTGTTGGAACCTGGCTTGAATTTTGGTCAATTCTCGGTCGAGAGAAGCGGCTTCGTTTGAGGCAACAGCAAGGAGTTTTTCGTAGGTGTTGGCACGGCTAATGTCAGCACCAGGACGGCCGCCAGGAGGTCCACCTGGACCACCTGGTCCGCCTGGGCCTCCTGGGCCACCTGGTGGACGACCACCTGGGCCACCTGGGCCGCCTGGTGGACGACCGCCGGGACCTTGAGCGCTAGCAAAAGCCACGCAAGCAACAACGGTAAGAATGAATAGTTTCATGTTGGTTGAACTGTACTATTTCCACAATGTGCACGCTTTTTATAGTTGGAAAAGGTAGAACCACGGACGTCATTTTTCCAAAATTAGTATAATCTAGTTTTTAAAATGTGCATTTTAGTAAGGCGGGTGACAAATAAGTTTGCATTATCATACAATTATTCATATTCCGAAAATGAGTAATTTATTATGATTGCCAAAGCAACTTGGTTTTTTCCATTTTGCGTAAAATATGTAGTTTACTATGTGCCTAGAAGTTAAAGCAATTATATATTTTAAGTACAGAAATAGAACTAAACTTATTGCCTCCACGTTCGCATCGTACCATGTCCCAACGGAAATTAATTTAGATTAATAAGAATACAGCCCAGTCATTTGGTAGTTTTGCCTAGAAAATAGTGCGGGATTGTTGAAAATTGGTATTCATATAGATTTCGAGGTGCTCTTTACGAATTTAAACTTTGCCACCTCGTATCTTGTGCGCTCGCGCCACCATCTTGGAAAAATGGTGTCAAAAAACAGTTTTTTGACCATATCTCCTTTCCGACCATATTTACGATAAATATATCTATATAATAAATTAAACTAGAGAAAATTTCCTATAATTTATGTAAGTACCTTTTTCTTGTAAAACTAATAGTTTTAGCGTACGGGCGCCACAAAGTCTACTTCAACATTTGTTTTTGTCAAAAAAATTCCAAATCATCATGACTGGAATTTTTGCTTGCTATGATTTGAGGGTGCTCCTGCTCCCCCTCGTCAAAAATGAGTCGAAAAGGAGATATGGTCAAAAAACTGTTTTTTGACACCATTTTTCCAAGATAGTGGCGCGAGCGCACAAGATACGCGTGGCAAAGTTTAAATTCGTAAAGAGCACCTCGAAATCTATATGAATACCAATTTTCAACAATCCCGCACTATTTTCCAAGCAACCACATTTTTGAGCACCAAATGACTGTACTAATAGTATGTATGAGATGAACAGAAACCAATAGGCCATGAGAAAAATTAATTGAAGATTGAATTGAGAATCGTTGAAATGCAAATCATGTTTAAATTGGGCAAAATTATTATTCAAAATAAGAAATTATTATTGATAAATATGCTATGACCACATAATATGCTTAAATATGTATGTATAGATTGCGCATTCTTATTATTTATTTTTACCGCAATTATTTTACTGTTTTTTTTTTGTTTTTAATTCAAATTGAATGCATAATTAGGTATTGCTATTTTTGTTGCGAATAGTGGGATAATAAACAAATAAATATGTCCGACAATTGCACGCACAAATTTTATTGCATAAGATGGTTTACATCTAAACCTAAAGTCTAAAACTACATCAATAAACTTTACTCAACATTTAACCCACATCTTCACAGTATCATGCAATATCCGTTTGCACTACACTGTTTCCAAATAACAGATGTTCTCAATTAGAAGAATTTACCCATTTACTTTATCATAAACCGTCATTTACCCGTCCACAGATTGATAAACCAATTATTGTAAATCTTTTTTGCAATCATCCAATAAACAAACAAGTTCAGTGAGGACTATATTATATCAACAGTGAAAGAAACGAGCTCTTGAATTAAATTTTAAAATATGTGGAATTGGGCAAAATGACAACAAATGCAGGCATGAATATAATCTCGGTATAAGAGGCATCTTAAAAATAGCAACAAAAAAATATTATTGCATTTTTAATGAAGTGTATAATAGTTATATGTTTAACTCATATAAATTACATATAAAAATATCTTTATAAATAAATGGAATTGCAATGATAATATTTATGAATGTGTTTCGTTTTCTGCTTAATAAAAAGAACACAACTAGATTAGCTTGTAAACATAACAAAATCAAACACACGTCAGATGTAATATCCGTTAATATTCATGTATTTGATGCTAATCTTGCATTGTAACATTGCAAACAACTAATTATAAATTTAATAAGCCCAGAGTGTATATAAAGTCACGAATTTATTTTTTCTATACTCTCTAGTTTCAAAATGTTGCCAATTGTATTTTTACTGTTGCTGGTAGTATCTTCTTGTTTAGCAAATGGAGCCGGACCGGTAGGCAAGATTGAAATTAAAAAAATTGACGCCTGTGATAATTCAAACTACCAATTGAAAATTCAATTTGATTCAAGTGCAGGCGATGGCAAAACTTTTAATATTCAATTTAAAACTACCAGGACCATAAATGAAAACTGGACGGTGAGCATTGTCACATATTCTATTTTGTATCCTTATTTACTAATTGTCTTAACAGTTCCGAGGTGATGTTGACAAGTGGACAGGTACAGCATGGAAAACTGGAGTCATGAAAGGCGACGGAAAAATGTGCCAAGCAGCTAATGAAGCAGTTCCGGCTTTAAAGGAACGCGTATTTAAGGCTTTAAACGTGAAGAAGTGTGAACTTGCACCTGGATCATACTCGTTGAAAGCCATGAAATTCTTTGAAAAAGATATCAAAATGAAAGCGCTACCCTATGGAAAGTTCCGAATTACTGTGAAAGCATGGGACGACAAAAAGACGATTGTTGCGTGCTTTGTTGGCGAAGGCGAACACTCACCTAAGATTTAATTGTTTAAATGCAATATAAATGTATGATATAAATATATCTATGTGCAAAGATATCTTCTAAATCCCTAAATACTTGAATAACAAAGCTAGCTCCAAACATTTATAACATGTTGCATGATCACGCGATAATATTGAACACAATAATTGTTAAAACTATCATTAATATTGCATGAAATGTATTTTCTAATAAATTATAGTAAGCAATATGGTAAACAATGTTCAACTAAACTATCTTGTTCATCTAGACCAGTGGTTCCTAACCTTTTCAATGTCACTACCCAGTGGCGTAGCGTGCCTTGTCGGGGCCCCGTATAAAATTTTTTTTGGGGGCCCTTATATGGAGGTAAAGGTTTTTCCTTACACACTTTGGGGGCCCCCGTGGCCCGGGGGCCCCGTATAATTGATACGGCAAATACGGCGGTAGCTACGCCCCTGTCACTACCACTGTCAACAAGTATGGGAATTGTGTTTACCCCAAGCTAATTTAAAATAATTAAAACCACATAAATACGAACGAAAATATTTTTATTATGTAAGAAATTGAACGTTTACGTAACTAGTAAAGTAATATAAAAATTTATATAGTAGTTTTCGGTACTATTATTTTGTTTATTGCTATTTTAATACTATTTTGTGCAATCCCGTGTTACCCCCCTAGAATCTCCGTTTTACCCCTGCGGGGGTAATTACCCCCAGGTTAGGAACCGCTGATCTAGACAGTAATGTAGTGCAACATAGTTTATTTTTACTTCAAATTCGTTTAACATGACGTTCAGTCTCTTGTGTATCTGCAGGTACTTCGTGATTGATGGTATTTCAGAATATTGCTGTTTTCCTTCCCTTCAATGTAATAAGATATTACATAAATATGTGATTCAAATTCTTGATTCAAGTTTTATTGATAATAATAATGAAACATTTGTTTAACAGGAATCAAAAAGTTTTTTGTGGACAATTTAGACATTCACATATTGCCCATGCGTATCTTTGTTTAATCTTAAAAGACCGCGAAACTGGTCTTTATTACGCTGCAATGTTCGTTCATAATATTTTAACCAGCGACCCGTCACTTAAATGGGAGAAAGACGCAAGAGTCAGTGCGTGTGTCGCGTCATTTTAGTACCTCTGGGTGGTGCTGGTAGTTTACTCGTAACTTTGTATTTTCTTGAGATACTCAAAAGTAACCTCAGATGGCGCAATGATGCATGTTTTAGCTAAAAATATTCCTGCGAGTGAAAGTCGGCGTGCCTAGTTGTTGTGCAGCCGGCACACAACTCTTACTTCGTGCGATAAGTTATAATACTTAAATGAATATTCCTGTTTCGGGGTTGTAAATTCGTTATATTGTGTTATATTTGCTGGAATTTAGTGTTAATAGACGGGTTTTAGTCGCTAAATATTTATCGCGTGTGTAATCTGCGGAATTCAATGTTTTGTGTGCTTTTTACGTTTCGTCTGCGTCTGGGATCGGTTGCCGTCGGACGCCAGCCGGCCATGTAAGACAAAGTTTGAGTTCCTTCGGAACTCGGATTCATTTCAACATTATCCGGAATTGTTTAACTAATGTTTTGTTTCTTGTTCATTTCAGTACATACACGCATTGGATTTACGGTGTTCGATACACTGGTGAGTGTAATTTTTCATCTTTTATTGTATCTATTTTTCGGTTTTACGGTTTTCCTGCAATTAGAGAATGGATATCTTAAACATCTTTTTGAGGAAATTTTGGTCAAGCATTCCGCAGAAAATTTGAAAATTGAAATTTAAACTTTTTTTATTACGGATGTTAGCGATGTTTAATTGAAAAAACGTCGCACTTTATCATAGTTAAATTTTCCTCTAGGACATATAGTTTTTCTGCAATTTGATCAAATGCGAAGTCATATTTTCCACAGAACAATTACATTGGTAAATTTAAAGCTTTTATTTTGGAAGTTGTTATAGAAGGTCTCCCTGAGCATTTTATTTTAGTAAAATTTTATTTTTGGACTCATAATTTTCCTGCAATTTGATCAAATGTGGACTCACATTTTCCACAGAAATATTTAAATTAGAAAGTTTGAAGTTTTTATTTTAAATGTTGCTATAAACCGTTCTCCTGATCATTTTATTTTAGTAAAATTTTACTGTTAGACTCGTAGTTTACCCGTAATTTAGTCAAATGTGATAATAAATTTCACCAGAAAACTTTCAGTTGAAAACTTACAATTTTTCTACTGAAGTTGTAACAAAACGTTTTTATGAGCCTTTTATTTTAGTAAAAATTGTCTTCAGAATTTACGGTTTGTTTGGAAAATCGCCAAAAATAGTTTGAATTGTTCATTGCTAAAATATAAACCTAAATAGTATAGCAACAATACATGCTCAAATTAAATATTAGATGTAAAATTGGTCAATCTTATAGGATATTAAATAATAATTCAATGATTTGCATTTTATTGTTTTATTAATTTTATAATTAAATTCCGTGACTACTATCTGTAGCATTCATAAATAGCACTAGGATGTACTAAAAATCATGAAATAGGATTGTATTCTTTATTTCTTATTCTTTATTTCTTTATTTCTTTATTAATCAGCAAACGTTGGCATTCGATACGAAAATTGTGTTTGTTTTGAATACATTTTACACTTTCTTATCGCAGGTCTGTGTGTCGCGTTGCCATCCCCTCACGCCGCACGTTGTCTCGTCTTAGTTTAGTTGTAATCGCAGGTATTATGCCTGTTGCAATTCACACACAAGGTCGCGTGCCATCGGCGGGCCGCTTTGCGCATCTATTGCTTTTACCTGCGAAGTTCATGCTGCAGGCACATTGTCTTATTGGGAACTGTCGCATCGTTGCTTGCGCTATCGACGGATTGCAGCCAGTTTCGTGCTGGTCGCTGGCGTATCAAGACGTATTTCACGCGACTCGAATCGTTTTATCGGACTCTTATTTTCTAAATGTGCATTGTATTCGGTCATCAATAGACTATTTAGTTGTAACATGCATCTGCAGTGTTTTGTTAATCATTAATTGTGCTTTTAATATCCATAATTTTTATACGTTTCCGTTTGATGTTTACATTCCAAATGCATACTGTTTCCATGATCTTTTCCGTCAGTAGGAAGTCCCTTCGTACTTGAGTAAGGAACTTATATCTGACTTGCGTCTCTCAGCACAGAATGTTTCTTTTCTCCGATGTATGAATATAATATTATATTGTATGCAATGTTTTTATTTTAACGTATGTTGTCTTATATTAAAAGTATTTATTTATTAAATCTTTTAATACATATAACATGGATTACGTATTCAACATAGAAAGTAATGAAATTACATTTTCTTTTAATTGCAGTACTTGCTGTGCCCTAGCAATCCAATGAGCACTGCATTGGTAAGTTTTTCTTAAGTAATTTTATTCGGTCAAATGTTTTATGACCGGCGTGTTGCAATAGCTCGGGAATTAAGGGTATCTTGTTTATTTTTATTACGGGTAATATAGAAAACGAAGGAAACGACAAAGTTTGCCCGTTTTTCGCGTTTTTGAAAACACACGGTGGAAAACAGGTCATATCTCGGGAACCTTTTGTAAGATTTTTAGTTTTTTATTTATTTTATGATAGGACAAGAGTGCATTTTTAAAATACACCCCTGAACCCCCGCGAAATTCGGTCATAACCCCCTCAAAATGGCCACCAAAGTTTGGCCTTTTCGTGCAATTATCAAAATACGCGGTGGAAAACAGGCCATATCTCGGGAACCCTTCGTGATATTTTAGTGTTTTCTTTATTTAATAATAGGACAAGAGTGTATTTTTAAAATGCACTCCTGAACACCCGCGAAATTCGGTCATAACCGCCTCAAAATGGCCGCCAATGTTAGGCCTTTTCGTGCAATTATCAAAATACGCGGTGGAGAAGAGGCCATATATCGGGAACCCTTCGTGATATTTGAGCTTTCTATTTATTTTATAATAGGACAAGAGTGTATGTTTAAAATGCACCCCTGAACCCCCGCGAAATTCGGTCCTAACCGCCTCAAAATGGTCGTCAAATTTAGGCCATTTCTGGCATGTTTCAAAACACGCGATGGAAAACAGGCCATATCTTCGGGACCTTTTGTCGTATTTTAGCTTTTTCTTTATTTTATGATAGGGCAAGAGCGTCATTTTTAAATGCACCCTTGAACCCCCGCGAAATTCGGTTGGAACAGCCTCAAAATGCCCGCCATAATGCATCCTTTTCTTGCAACAAAACGCGCCTCAAAATGGGGAACCCGCCATAATTATAGGGTATTAGTGCCTTTTGCACCCTTGAGCCCCGTGAAAATTAACTGCTTCAAAACGCCAAAATTTGTTCTTTTCGTACATTTTTCAAAACAGGTGGAAAACAGGCCATATCTCAGGAACCCTTTGTCATATTTTAGATGTTTATTTATTTTATGATAGTACAAGAATACATTTTCAAAATGCACCCTTGAACCCCGCGAAATTCGGTCGTAACAGCCTCAAAATGGCCACCATAATTACGCCTTTTTTGCTCATTTTCAAAACACGCGGTGGTGTACTCAGCGCAGTTTTGTGTCGATCGTGGAAAGAGTCGGACGTGTTTTTCGCGTTAGTAATCCGGATAAGGGTATTTGGTAGTTGCAGCACTGTTGTCAAGCTTTAACTCGCAAAAAGGATGTCTCTAGAGGTGTTAAATTAAATTTTCCGTGAGGTTGTATTAATTTGTTGCGGGAATGCCGAATGGTAAATTCGAAAATTGGGGTGTTAAATGGGATTTTCACATGCAGAGTGAAATTGTTAGAGTTTTTTCGCTATAGCTCGTAGAGGCGGCTTAATAAATTTACGCGCGATCTTTAGAGATTTCAAATTAAAGTCTTAATGCGAGTTTGTAAGCGAATTTCGGTTGTTCTTGTTTTTAATATGCAGGTAATTCGAATAAACCTGCATGGTGGCAAAAATTTGCCACCCCGAGAAAGTGGTGTTTTTGTTTTTTTCAACAACTAGATGTTTACGTCAGACGTGACCATTTTCTTTTCTGCTTAGTCGGTCGTGTGCGGTGGTGTCGTGAACACGTGTTTTGTTTGCGCGTCTATCTGCATAGTTATTAATCGGATTTCTTGAGATGTTATTGTAATAGTGGCATGAATGACAATGAATGTCAGCAAGTGTGGCTTATAGTCATTGAATTGTCGCCCATGAAATCTGAAAATTCTATAGAATTCTTGGATTCTCGTGGAGATGTGTCACGTTTTTGGGGATTATAAGTTGGTAGTTTAATTAATATCGGTCAGGACGGATAGAATTTAGTATTGATAAATGTATGCGACGTGTAATTAATAAGTTATCGCGCGTGGAAGTATAAATTAAGTTGTTATTTCAATGTGCGCATGTGTTATCAGTCGCCCATCGGATATCTCTCGTCAATACGAAGAATTCTTACTGGCTTTATAAATTTTTGTGCATTTTTTAAATAATTCAATCGTGGAAATATACCACGATTGTTTTCCGTGTTGAATAAAGTCCGTATAATCTTTTCCGTACCACTTTATGAAGATTAAACAGTCAAATAAGTGTAACTTATAACTTAAGTAACATTTGTAAGTAACTGTGAACACATGTGCTTAAATTTCATGTATCAGAATTAAATTTGTATATGTACTGTCTTGATCATATGAGTTTGAATAAAATATAATTTAATAGTATATTTTGAATCAGTTATCTCTCTGTGTTCCTATGGTCGTTTTCAGAATTAGATTTAAAGATCATATTTAATTACGCGTGTTTGAAATGAACATACATTTATACCTGAAACGAATAGAGTTTGATAAGTGAGCGTTGTGGCTCAGGTGGCATGTGCATATGCTAGCATGCTGGAGGTTTATGGATCGAGTCTCAGTTGTAGAAGGCAGTTTTATTAAATAATAAGAAATTTTAGAAATGTGGGTTGAAACCACAAAAATTCAAGATTGAAATGTAAGAAATAAAACGAAAAGCAGAATACGACGAAGCAACAATAGGAATAAGTAGAAGATGGTGGAGGAGAAGAGAATGAGAAGAAATGGGAGGAGGAAGTAGAGAACAGCAGCAGGAGAGAATAGGAGAAATAAGAAGGGAAGAATAAGAGAGAGTACAGGAAGAAAAGAGAATAGAGGTGACAGAATTTTAAAATGTTTTGCCGGCGTGTCATTCTTTAAGATGCTTCGATGCGTTCATTGCTCCCGGCCCATCCTACAGCTACGACGTCTCTGCGCTTCATCCCCAGGATTCTGAGGTATATCAACAATTTTTATGGGGGGAGAGAGGGAATTCCTTATAAGGATTTGTAAATATATTTCTAAGTTTTAAGTCGCCTCAAGAGAAGTGACACTTAAAAATATTCTTACAAGTTCCTACCTGTAGCTGAAATGAAAGATGGAGTACCCAAATCATACAAGATACCTTAACAATTTTTATAGTGGGGATCATCCCCTGAGAGAGGGAACTAATCCTGAAATGGTAAAAGGGGTAAACACGAATCAAAGAAGTCAATATATCTTACTATTTCTTTATTAACAATAGAATACAAGTTTAGATTATACAAGTCAACAAAATACCTGCCGCCATAATCACACAGAACTTCGACCTGCATCGTCGCGTACTTGTAAGCAAGTAACACGTCAAAATGTTCTACCGGGATAAAGAAATTAGCAAATAATGATGGAAAATTGAAACAAATATACAGGGTGTTCCAAAAGGAAAAAATTAAGTGCAGACAGGAAAAATCTGAACACTCAAATATCGCTGGTTCTTCACCGTTACTCTGAGAAATAAATATACAGGGCGTTGCAAAAAGAAAATTCGAAGTGCAAGTAGTTAAATTCTAATAACAAAACAAAATTTTCAGGTAAAGGAAAACGATTATAGAAGGTGTCACAAATAGAAAATTCCACCATCAAAGAGAAAAACATCAAAACACTACAAATATTGCTCGTGTTCACCCAATGCTCCGGGAAACTAATAAACAGGGTGCTACAAAAGGAAAAATTTAAAACTTCAAATATGGTCAATATTCACATCATGACGAGAGAAATTTATACGGAAACAAATATATTTTAACATAAATTCAAAGATTTTACCCGAAAATCATCGGATAATTGAGTAAAACAGGTGCTACAATAATAAAACACTTACATTTTAATATATTGTGTATATATTTATCACTTGATGATTGCATAAACTACATAAGGTAACAGACGGCCGAAGCATCATCTTAAATTGGTAGAACATCCGGAGGAAACATTCAAATCAGCAGACGACAAGCGACGGCGGACGGTAATACAGTAGGTAAATACGATAAAAATAACTAGTTACTTATAAATATTAAAATATATGGAGACTATGATAGCGAAAACCGTTGAATAGGTTTAAGATAGGTAAAAGATTTTATTAGATCAATAAGAAGCTTTTAATTTAATGGTTTAAAGGAGTGTAATTCGATGAAAATCGTTCAGCGAAAAGAGTAATGAGCCGACGGTCGACAGCAAAGTGAGCGTGGTCGACCACATCAATATTGTCGTTATAATAATCCTCAGATACTTTTTTATAACAATGCTTGTAATAATTAAATCATGCATGTTATTTTTGGAAACATGGCTATAAATTCAGATAAAAATGCTACCATGTGTTTGTAATTTGCAAAATTAATATCCCTCAAACGGACTAATTAATTTAATATAAACCGTTTGAGCTTTCCGTGAAAAAATTTAATTACACACCTACCAGTGCAATGTTGAAGAGATTTTAGATACAGGAATATATCTTATTAACTGAAAACTCGTGCAGAAATTAACAGACACTTATTTCTTACTTAAGAACACTCTAACCGCCACAACTCATCAAACAAAACGATTAATTAAATTTTAATAATTGAAGTCTGCAAACGCGTGGCTAGTAGTGAGACGCGACCGCGGACCACGCGGTGAAACGACTGCCGTGTGCGCTGTGCGTTGCTAGGTACAGGGCAGGCACGTCGCGATAATACACGTCAGTCGAACAAAACAGTTGTTTATAAACAAACGTACTCGTAGTGGTAAACAAGTACTTGAGAAGACGAAAGTAAAAATTCACACGAGATATTGAAATATCACACATACACGAAATCTACTTTTACTTTCAATATTTCTCGGCGTAAGAAAAGCATATATTGGTTTTAGGATGCAATAAAAATAAGGAAGAAGAGAAATTTGTAATTTACCAATACAAATAAATAATTTATTCGTATAAGCTAAGTAAGTAGAGTTAAGTAAACACTTACTGTACGCTATACCCTCACAATATCGCTGAAACGATATTTTTACTAAACCATTGCAAGTCAATGCAAGTATTTGTCAAGCCGGATGTGGATAGCT